CTCTTCTAAAAATACAAAAATTAGCCGGGCATGGTCGCACTCGCCTATAGTCCGAGCTATTCAGGAGGCTGAGGCAGGTGAATCAATTCAACATGGGTGGCGAAGGTTGCAGTGAGCCAAGATTGCACCACTGCACTCCAGCCTAGGCTACAGAGCAAGACTCCATCTCAAAAAAAAAAAAAAAGAAAAGAAAATCAAATAAGCCAGGCGCGGTGGCTCATGCCTGTAATCCCAGCAGTTTGGGAGGCCAAGGCAGGCAGATCACGAGGTCAGGAGTTCAAGACCAGTCTGGCCAACATAGTGAATCCCCATCTCTACTAAAAATACAAAAAATTAGCCAGGTGTGGTGGTATGAGCCTGTAATACCAGCTACTCGGGAGGTTGAGGCAGTAGAATTGTGTGAACTCAGGAGGCAGACATTGCAGTGAGCTGAGAATGTGCCGTTGCACTTCAGCCCATATTACAATGTTAGACTTCCTCTTTTTTTTTTATTAAGAAAAAAAAAACAAATGAATACTACTACTTTTTAAAAAACTACTTTTCTTTCCTTTTTTTTTTTTTTTTTTTTTTTGAGATAGAGCCTTACTCTGTTGCCCAGGCTAAAGTGCAGCAGCACAATCACAGTTCACTGCAGACCTGAATTCCCAGGCCCAAGTGGTCCTCCTACCGCACAGTCACGCCCCACCATGTCCAGCTATTTTTGTTTGTTTGTTTTTTGAGACAGAGTCTCGCTCTGTCCCCCAGGCTGGAGTGCAGTGGCACAATCTCAGCTCACTGCAACTTTTGCCTCCCAGGTTCAAGCAATTCTCTGCCTCAGCATCCTGAGTAGCTGGGATTATAGGTGCCCGCCACCATTCCTGGCTAATTTCTGTATTTTTAGTAGAGACATTTCACCATCTTGGCCAGGTTGGTCTTGTGAACTCTTGATCTTGTGATCCACCCACCTCTGCCTCCCAAAGTGCTGGGATTACAGGTGTGAGCTACCGTGACCAGCTCAGCTAATTTTTTTGTTTGTTTGTTTGTTTGTTTTGTAGAGACAGGGTCTCCCTATGTTGCCCAGCCTCCCAAAGTGCTGGGATTGCAAGTGTGAGCCACCTTGTCCAGGCAAAATTGCTTTTTTTTTTTTTTTTTAAGACAGACTCTCACTCTGTCACCCAGGCTGGAGTGCAGTGGTGATCTTGGCTCACTACAGCCTCTGCCTCCCAGGCTCAAGCAACCTCCCTCCTCAGACTCCTGAGTAGTTGGGACTATATGCATGCACCACCACGCCCAGCTAATTTTTATATTTTTTGTAGAGATGGGGTATTGCTAGCTGGGCATGGTGGCACATGCCTTTAATCCCAGCTACTTGGGAGGCTGAGGCAGAGAATCACTTGAACTGGGATGTGGGAGGCAGAGGTTGCAGTGAGCCAAGATCGTGTCACTGCACTCCAGCCTGGGCTACAGAGTGAGACGTTGTCTCAAAAAAAAAAAAAAAAAAAAAAAAGAAGTGGGGTCTTGCTTTGTTGCTCAGGCTGGTCTCGAACTCCTGGAGTCAAGCAATCCACGCACCTCGGCCTCCCAAAGTCTGAGATTACAGATATGAGCCACTGGGCCCAGCCCAAAATTGCTTTTCTAATACAAGAAAAACTAATTAGAAAATATAATGACGGGGCTGGGCACAATGGCTCATGCCTGTAATCCCAACACTTTGGGAGGCCGAGGTGGGCAGATCACCTGAGGTCAGGAGTTCGAGACCAGCCTGACCAATATGGTGAAACCCCATCTCTACTAAAAATACAAAAATTAGCTGGGTGTGGTGGCATTCGCCTGTAATCCCGGCTACTTGGGGGCTGAGACAGGAGAATCACTTGAATCCTCCAGAAGGTGGAGGCTGCAGTGAGCTGAGATCATGCCACTGAACTCCAGCAGAATGCAGAGGGCGACAGAGCAAGGCTCCATCTCAAAAAAAAAAAAAAAAAAAAAAAAAAAAAAAACTATAATGAAGGAAATGTTATTCAGAATATCAACAACAAAAACAAACTTGTTTTGAATAATGCACCATGTTTATATACGATGTTAACACTGGGGAAAGGTGGATGAAGGGTATACAAATACGCTCTAAACTATCTTTGCAACTTTTTTGTAAATCTTAAATCACTTCAAAATAAAAAGTTTATTCAAAAGAAAACAAGAACATACAGAAACAAGCAAGGCATAACTGGGGTAAAATATCTATAATATATATATCTGACCAAGGACTTATATCCAGAAAACATCAAGGATGTCTACAAATCAATGGTAACAAAAAGCAAATTTAATGTACAAAAGACTTAAAGCAGACACACACACACACACACACACACACACACCTCACACTCACGCGCGCGCGCTCTCTCTCTCTCTCTCTCTCTCTCTCCAAATAACTAATAGATATTCGAGAAGGTGCTGAACATCACTAGTCAATGGGTAAGTATAAATTAAAATCAGAATAAAATAACACTACAGAAACAATTGCTAATATTAAAAAGAAGAGAAAAAATGCACTGACAATATTAAATATCAACAAAGATGTGGGCTGGGCACAGTGGCTCATGCCTGTACTCTCAGCACTTTGGGAGGCTAAAATGGGAGGACTGCTTGAGCCCAGGAGTTTGAGACCAGCCTGAGCAACATAGCAGGAACCCCTCTCTACAAAAAAAAAAAAATAGCTGGGCATGATGGTGCACACCTTTAGTCCCAGCTATTTGGAAGGCTGAGGTGGAAGAAAGACATGAGCTTGGGAGTGGGAGGTTGAGGGTACAGTGAGCCATGATCAAGCCAGTTCACTCCAGCCCAGGTGACAGAGTGAGACCCTATCTTTAAAAAAAAAAAAAAAAAAAAAAAAAAAAAAAAAAAAAAAAAAAAAAAAAAAAAAAAAAAAAAAAAA